CCATAGTGCATCCGACCTGAATCGTCTGCACCAGAATGCTCAAAAAGATCAAAGCCAGAATTAAAAATCTCCTCATCCGTCGGGTTATTTGTTCCAGTTGCCGTTGGGGTGGCAGCGTTGGCACCTTCGTATACTCTGCTACTAGCGCCACCATCGTAGAGATAGAGAGGCATGGTGATATGCTGTGAACCAGACCGAGAGCGGGAATGAGAATGCGAGGCGTTGCGAGAATGCGATGGGGATCGAGACATGGAATGAACTTGACTCATGGAACTCTGAGTGGGTGTATGCTGGAGCTGATTCTCGCCCCATGTGAGTGAATGAGGATGCATCAGACTGGGAGGATGGAGAGGTGCCATGGGAGGGTGAATGGGATAACCATAATAGTCGTAGGTCACATTAGACATGGTCTGAAGGGACTGGCCAGGTGAACTTGCGAATAGGGAACGAGTAGGAGATGCCGCGCCATTTTGATCTACGGCGTTATTGTTGGTAGATCCAGAGATCCCATTGTTGCTGCCGTTGAGGGTAGCATCGAGGGAAAAATAGGGAGGTGAATTGCCCGAACCCTTTCCTGCCATACCAGTCGGGGAGCTATGGGCAGAGTTGCTACCTCCTGTGGTATGAGCAACACTGGACCCGCTGAAATTCGAGTCGAGCGTCATCCGCCTCCGTTTGGCATTGGGTGCGATGTGCCCTCCTCCATTCTCAACGCCGGTCATGATCGTGGTCTCGACAATATGCTGCACTTCAGAAGGAGAAGTGGGACTTGCCAAGCCAGTGGGGTTGTTCATGCTCGTGTTGTTAGTGGTAGAATCGTTGAAGACACCATAGCTGCCAAACGATGAAAAGGTCGTGAGGTCGTCTCCCATACCCATACCGATCCCAGACATGTAGTCAGAGTCGCTATTGTACGAGTAATCTTGGGAGAAATTTTGCCCAAAGGAGAAGCCCATGCTATCGACTCCATTGGTGCCAAGAGCTGGGTTTGCGAATGGCTCGGGTCCAGAAGAATTGGATCCAGCAGAAGGAGGAGGGGTTGGTGAATTGCGACGCGAGTTTTGCGGGTTGTTGTTGGTGGGTGTCATGACGGTGATAATGCTCGAGACGCTCGTGCGCTTTTCCGTTTCATGGCGAGAACGTTTGCGGATAACGTCCGACTTCATGGAAAGAGGCCGCCGTGTTCCATGGAGTTTGAGGCTGAGAGGGAAGCAACGTGCATTAGCAAATATGCATTGGACCCCTAACAAGGGAAGCTACTCACTAGAGGCCACAACTGTTGACAGGGATCGAAGAAAATTCGTCATCAATAAAAAAAGGTATAAAATAGTGTCACACGTCCACTCACGCGTTGCAAAGTGTATTGCCTTCGTCATCCTTTCTCCAGAGAGGCGTGGCCGTGGTGGCACAGTTGTGGCATTGAACTGTCGAGAGAGAAGGAGTCAATACAGAGCCAAGCGATTGGATTGGGGGAGAAGAGGGTGGTAATGCAATGGCAGCCAGGTTGCCGATCAGTGATCAGAGTCCCCCCTCCACAAACAAATAACAAGGACAAAGCAACCCAAGGTTGGCCAAACAATCAGAAAAATAGGGGTCAAAGAGGGAACTTTGAATGGAGACGTCTCAATTCTAGATCCAGATTGAGCACTAGCTCCGAGCCACTTTCCCAGAAACCTTCTACCTTGAGTAGAAGATCAAGGGAAAATGAAGCGAATGCAGAAGGCGGACACGATGAGCCATATTCTCAATCGCCAATATGGAGCCTGCTCTTCGCAGGCAACTCGGGAGTAAACTGGGCCAAGCACACCAGCAGAGGAACTTCAAAAAAGGCGGCCAAAGAGAGAAAAAAAATGGGGAAAGGGAGTGGCAAAGAAAAAGAAAAGGAAACTGAACGTACACGTACCTGGCTCTCCGGCCAATTCAGCCTCGCCAGCTTTGTTACCCCAAGCATTTCCAGCACGGTCGCCATGCGTAGTCCTGAGGTTCTTCGGACGAGCTCGCTTATGCTATTAGAGATAAGCGAGAGCGAGACGAGCGAAAAAGGGCCGCGGCCACCAATGATTGCGAAAGACGAAAAGACCGCAAGTGTGATAGTTTTTGAATTGAATGCGGGGTCCCGTATCGTAAGGTTTGAATTCCGTAATGGGGGAGACGGTATGATGGCATAGCGGACGGGTTCAGGAAAGATACGGATGCGAATGTTTTCAAGTTGAGGAAACAGGAGCCGGTGTTTGAATAAGAGAGGTGGTGATGACACAGAAACGCCATTCATACGTTGAGGTCAGATGAGGTGGAGGGAAGTCATAGAAAAAGTCAAACATGTCAGTAAAAACCAAAAGCAATGCATAAATCCATCAGAAGAGAGGCAAAACAAGTCAAAGGGAAATGGGATGGGAAGAAGGGGAAGTGATGAGCCAGCGCTTTGGTTCGGTATGCGCCTAGCCAATCAGAACAGTTTCCGATCGCTTTGGCCACACAATACCGAAAACACTAGCTAGCGCGCCAGCACAATCCAGACCAAAGGAGCTCTCACAAAATGAGAGATAAGCAGGAAAAGAAGAGAAATAAAGAAGTGGAGAAGCCAAAGGGGAGAAGGAAAGAGAGACGCACCAGCTTGCAGTACAATCCACACGCGTTGCAATTGAGCTCATCATTCAAGCCTCTTCTCCAGAGGGGAGTATGGGTCGCACCACAGTTTGCACATTCGCTCTTCACTCCACCGGGTGCCGTGTTGCCGACATTGCCAGGAACCACACTGCCGGCGTTGCTTCCACTGGAACCAGCAACAGAACCACCGCCGGTAGACGGAGTGGCTGGAGACGTCTGAGAGGCTACTGAACCTGTAGGTTGTCAACGAGTGGCTCTCATGTTTGCAAAAATAGGACGTACCATCATAAGCAGACTCGCCTTTGGCACCCATAGAGTTGGAGATGTTGGAATGTACACTTGCAGGGCTAGTATTGTTGGCCTTTGCGTTCACTTGGATGGTTTGCATCTGACCAGCGCTGACTCCATCCTTGTTACCAGCGTTTCCACCGACCGCATTGGCAGGTGAGACAAGAGTACCATACGCGACGGTAGCAGGGGTCGAATTTTGGCGAGAGAGGACAGGGGTCGCACCCACCGAACCATGGAAGCCTCGCTTGGTCGGGCTCGTAGGCGTAGTCGAATTAGCAGAAGCGGCAGAGCCACTCGGGTTGTGAATCTCAGAGGGTGGTACACCCCAATGGCCCGTAGCTCCCAAACCTCCCAAGCCAAACATGCCATCGACACCCGCAGCGAGGTTGAGGTTCATGTTGACGTTATTCGCATCCCAAGGCGTAATCTCGCTCGCACCAGCCGCATTCTCTCCAAGCGCACCACCAGCACTACCAAGCTCGTCATCCCCCATATCACTCTTGAGGATTTCTTCAATAGGGAACTCGAACGTGGGGCGTGGGACGCCAAAGTCGAATGGTGTGCTCGCGTGCTGCATGCCGACGCCAATACCATTCATGCCGGCCGCAGAAAACGTGGCGGCATTGGACCCACCATTGTTGACCATCCTCGTCGTGTGAGTCGCACCCGTTTGATATCCCATGCCTGCCGGTGGGCCGGAGGGGCCATAGATGCCTTGCGTCGTGATCGACCTCTCAGCGTTCGGGACGAGAGCTGAAAAGCTCTGGTAGCCGTTCCCCAAGTCTGGAGGGGAGGGGGCCTCGAATGAGAATGCAGGGGCGCCACCAGAGCCGGACACGGGCAACGCACACAAGAGCGACGTGGGTCCAAAGTCGGAGGAAAAGATGGTTGGGAAACGAACAATATGCGCCTGAACTGGCCTCGCTACACCACCAGCATTCGTAGTATTGCTGTTACTGTTGCTGGAGGCATAGTTCGACTGGGAACCAAACTGGCCCGTGGAAGAAGAGAGTGCGTTGGAGAGGACCTGAGGGTTGGCAGTCGTGGGTGGATAAGGCAGCGCAGAAGGGTGGTGGGAAGGGAGGAGATGCTGAGGGGTGGGCGTGTGATGGCCTGCGCCTTCTTCCGAGTCAAAGTACGTGTCATTGTCCTGTTGTTCGTT